CCGGGTCCAGAGCCTCCTTCTCGACGTTGGAGATGCTTGAGCCGGGGGCTCGGAGAATAAGGTTCGGGAACAAGGGGTTCCTTGAGGTTGACGGGGTTGGCACCGTGGAACTGCGGTGTGAGACGCCGTCGGGAGAGCGGGTCAACCTTCTCCGCGAGGTGGCGGATGTTCCCGGTGTCGCGGAAAATCTTTGCTCGGTGAAGAAAGCCACCGCGGTAGGAGCCGCGGTTGTGTTTGTTGGGGAGATGTGTGAAGTGTCCGTGGACGGAGAGATCGTGCTTCGGGCGGAGGAAAACGTGGAGGGCATGTCGGTTGTTTGCCAACCGAAGGCCACGTGGGAGGACACGTGCTTGCTCGTGAGGGAAGCCGAGAGCCCGGTGTTGTGGCACCGGAGGTTGGGGCACGCCGGATACGAGAGCTTGGCCAAGATGGTGGAGGGGGGGTCGGTCCGGGGTGTGGGGGTAAAAGCTGAGGCGTTTCGGGAGGAGAAGACCGTACTGTGCGAGCCTTGCATCATGGGGAAGCATACCCGAACGCCGTTCCCCAAGGAGTCGGACTCTAAGGAGAGTACGGAGCCCCTCGAGCTAGTGCACATGGACGTGTGCGGGCCCATGCCAATGACGGCAAAGGGGGGGAGTAGGTACTTGGCCACTTTCCTTGACGACTATAGCAAGCTTTCGGTGGTGCAACCGATGAAGCGGAAGAGCGACGTCACGGCGGTCACGGAGAGCGTGTTTGCCCGGTTGGAGTTGCAATCCGGAAAGAAGGTCAAGTCGGTGCAAACGGACCGGGGTGGGGAGTACGTCAACGAGGGAATGACGGCCCTCCTTGGCAAGAAAGGGACGGTGAAACGGACCACGGCGGGGCACTCTCCCGAACAAAATGGCTCGGCGGAGCGGTTGAATCGGACGCTCGAGGAAAGGGGGCGGGCTTTGCTAGAGGACGCCGGATTGGACCCGGAGTTGTGGGCGGAAGCGATGGTTACCGCTAACTACACGCGGAACCGGGTGCCCTCGAGCGTGCACGGCAAGACCCCGTGGGAGAA